TTTTTTTTCATTTGATAGTATATAACATAACCTTTGATTTGATATATGTTTAAAGGACGCAGTATTTCCGGAACATTTTCAAAAGTTCAGTTGAAAAAGATCTATGTTTTTTACAATATTTTAAGTTTTGAACGCCCCCTATATAAGGGGAAATTGTCCAATTTTAATAAAAAGTATGTCAAATGAAAGATGTACTTATAATGTATTTAGAAAAAAAAAATTTGTGCTGATATATACATTTTTCAAAAAGTTATAGCATTTTTAAGTTGAAAATTTAAAATCGAAAATCGAAAATTTTAACACAAAAATAGTGTTTTTTTAACTACGGCAGCCGTTTAAATGTAGAAAAAAAAGTGTCGGGACAAATTTTTTTTTTTCATTTTGTAGTACATAAAATAAGCTTTAATTTGATATATGTTTAAAGGACGCAGTCTTTCCGGAACATTTTCAAAAATTAAGTTGAAAAAATTAATTTTTGTAAAAAAGTTGCCATTTTAAATCCCCCCCAATGAGCAGGTTAAGTGATAGATTTTCAAAAAAATGATATCAAATGAAAGGTAAATATCTAAGGTTTTAGTATAAAAAAAAATTATGTTGATTTGTTGATTTTTCAAAAAGTTATGGAAGTTTTAAGAAAAAAAAGTGAAAAAATTTCGAAAATTAGCGATTTTTAAATTTGTAATTTTTTTGGATATTTCCCCCATTTGCGGGGAACGAGGGAATTTTTTTCAATTTTTAAGGGTAATGTCTTCAACTAGATACGATTTGTGATCTTTTGACGTATTTTTGAAAGAAATCGGTCCAGTGAGAGCTGAGAAAAAGTGGCAACAGACAAAAAAAAAAAAAACACATCATAGTAAAATTAATACCTTCTCCGCTTCGCATCGAAGCTAAAAAATAAAATCGAGAATTTTCACATAATAATAGCATTAGGTAGCCATTTTCACCATGAGGACAAAAAAAGTCCAAACATTTTTTTTGCATAATAAAGTACATTACATTAGCTTTAATTTAAGATATATATAAAAGTGTCAGACTTTCCGAAACACTTTCAAAAGTTAAGTTGGAAAAATTAATTTTTTGTGAAAAAGTTGTCATATTAAATCCCCCCCTGTGGGCAGGTAAAGGGTCAAATTTATAAAAAAAATATACCAAATGAGAGGTAAGAACATTATGTATCTATAAAAAAAAAATGATATTTATATGTTCATTTTTAAAAAAAATTAACCCAGCACAATGGGGTGGCGGCACAGTGGGGCCGAGGTATAGTTAGGTCCAGTATAGATATCTGACAGTGATTAAAATCACTATCATAAAAAACTTCGATGCAAATCTGTAGATAGTGTTTAATTTAAAAAAAAAAAATTTGTTAAAATAGCATATTTTGAATACGGTAGCCATTTGCGCATAGAAGATAGGTCGTCGGGACAAATTTTTTTATTTCATTTGATAGTATATAATATAACCTTTGATTTGATATATGTTTAAAGGACGCAGTATTCCCGGAACATTTCCAAAAGTTCAGTTGAAAAATATTTATGTTTTTTACAATATTTCAAGATTTGAAATCCCCCTATATAAGGGGAAATTGTCCAATTTTAATAAAAAGTATGTCAAATAAAATATGTACTTATAATGTATTAAGAAAAAAAAATTTGTGCTGATAATTACATTTTTCAAAAAGTTATAGCACTTTTAATTTGAAAATTTAAAATCGAAAATCGAAAATTTTAACACAAAATTAGCGTTTTTTTAACTACGGCAGCAGTTTACATGCAGAAGAAAAAGTATCGGGACAAATTGTTTTTTTTCATTTATAGTACACAAAATAATCTTTAATTTGATATATGTTTAAAAGACGCAGTATTTCCGGAACATTTTCAAAAATTAAGTTGAAAAAGTTAATTTTTGTAAAAAAGTTGCTATTTTAAATCCCCCCTAATGAGCAGGTTAAGTGATAGATTTTCAAAAAAATGATATCAAATGAAAGGTAAATATCTAAGGTTTTAGTATAAAAAAAAATTATGTTGATTTGTTTATTTTTGAAAAAGTTATGGAAGTTTTACAAAAAAAAAGTGAAAAAAATGACAAAATTTACCGATTTTTAAATTTGTAAATATTTTGGATATTTCCCCCATTTGCGGGGAACGAGGGAAAATTTTTCAATTTTTAAGGTTAATGTCTTGNCCCCCATTTGCGGGGAACGAGGGAATTTTTTTCAATTTTTAAGGGTAATGTCTTCAACTAGATACGATTTGTGATCTTTTGACGTATTTTTGAAAGAAATCGGTCCAGTGAGAGCTGAGAAAAAGTGGCAACAGACATAAAAAAAAAAAACACATCATAGTAAAATTAATACCTTCTCCGCTTCGCATCGAAGCTAATATTTCAATACTAGTTGTATATAGGATATAAAAAAATATTATTAAAAATATTAAAAGCCAAGCATTGTTATTGATTCATAATATTATAATGAATAATAATAATGATAAAATAATTAATTAATAACTGTTAAATTAAACAGTTTTTGCACGACTCTAAGGCAAGGAAAAATAAAATCACTGTTAAATTAAACAAAACCTTTTCAGTTAGTTGTTGAAATAAAATAACTTTGAATTATTACCGATAAAAACACAAAACATAGACAATATTCAAATTGAAATTGAAGGGTTTCGAATGAAGAAAAACGTGGAAATTACATAACAATTTAATATATACTCACGAGTAACATAAGTTTTTTTTTCCCTCATATTAATCCCAACTACTTGGGTTTGGCCAATTAACATATATAAGTATTGCACAATACTTTTAATTTTAAATGACGAGAATTTACAAAAAGAAAAAGTGTATTCCAGCAAAAGCCTTGTGCTTTAGTTAAGTTATCATCTATATAATAATTGATTGAGTAATTTTTTTCAATAAATAAGTTATATAATTTAATGAATTTTTTTAAATAATAGTAAGTTTTTTTTTGAAAAAGAACAACTCATATAACTTGTAAACTACATAACATTTTATACTTTTNGGAACAAACGAGTAAAAAAAACAAGTTGTAAATAAAAGTGGCGAATGATTAGATAATAAATTGATCGTATTACTAAAGTAGCCAAACTTATCAAAATTTTCCATTATCAAATGTAATAATTTATAATTTAGATTCTTTAGTATAATTCGTGCTGGTGAGAATTTTTACGCGCAGATCAAAGAGAACCCAAGTTATTGGAGCGGTTCGACACATCATCCCTACCAAAAGACCATTTTTGCTTTTCAGCTTCTCGCAAAAAAGTACCAAGATCTTCGGTCGGACGAGTGTGGTGATAGGACAATACTAGAGTTCGTTAGTCTGAAAACGAAAGCGTATGGTTTTGATGTTGAGTGGTGTAATATAGGTCATTATTTTGTGTTTGGATTAATTGTAATTCCCCGAATTATTGTTACTAGACCAGGAAGTAAATATTTATAAACATTTTTGAAAATGATTGTATTATGAATTTTATAAAAAAGAAAAACAAAATATTTTAGTATATAAGACGAAATGGAATGAATAGAAAAGCGAGAGAGAAAAGACCTCGGGAGTACCGAAGGTAATCTCTTTCCGTGTGGTACGTTTGTCACATTAAGTTTTCATTTTGTGTATTATTTATTTATCCTGTTTTAAGTGTATCATTATTTTGTATGTTTTACTTTGTTTGATTATATCTTTATTAATTACTTTTGCATTATTATTGAACTATTATTACTATAAATTAGAACAAGATTGTTAAGATTGTTTCATATTTAAATAGAACATATATCTACCTTTTAGAGACACTATCAAGAGACGTATTATACTAAAATTTAAGACTTTCTGTGTAAAATAACGATATCTAGTTTTTTTTACGCTAATAATAATTATTAATTATAATTAATAAAATGTATGAAACTTCTTTGGATAACTACTGTTCATCTACACAGGAAGTAGACCGAATTATCAATGTATTATAATAATATTATAATTAACTTAACTTATATATTATATAAGTTAAGTTAATTCATGTACTAAGATAATATATTATATTATTATTAAGGATCTTGTTTGAGAAAATGTTTGGTTCTAAGATAATGTCGCGCAGATGATAAGGTGTTAGCTGGCGCTTGGGCTATATAAACATTATTATATTGATGATAATATATACATCGTATTATGTTATGTATTATACATAACATAATACGAATTGTATAATGAAGACCTTCAGTGTGAATATCCATGGTACTGTGTCAATAACCTATTACGGAGTGGGCGATATTAGTTTAGTTAGGCAAATCAGAAATATGAACACAAAATGTGATCTTATCACATAAACATAATAAATTAATGGCAATGAATCAAATGCATATAATCGTTACTAATTAGTTTACTTAAAAAATAAATGGATAATTTCGTCCAATTTGAGCTTATGTAAATTTTTAGACTTATTTAGTTTTTTGTGTTTCCATACATTGAATATTAATTTTAGAGGAAAAATATAAACAACTTAATTGTAATCAATTAAGACTAAATTTTAGACTCTTTTATTTCTTAATATGTATTTGAATTTGTATCATTTTAATAATAATGAGCATTAATATACACATTTATCACTATCTAGAGCCATCATAAAGAGGTTGTGAGTTGTAACATCCCTATATTAAAAAAAATTATTGTTTTAGCCATCCATTTTTGTATGCATAAGGGGATTACTTTTCAATAAAGAATTATAAATAAGATTATACAATAAAAAAAAGAAAAATTCAGTTGGCATATTTAATTAACACTATTTCCATATTTTTTAAATTTGGAGCGGCCCTTCACATCGTACTATATATTCCAATGAAATATTTGTCTAATAATTAAAACCGTTATTAGTGATTCTTTAACATAAGTTCATCAAGGTTAGTATTTTATAGTTGAATTATCAATTGTTTCATATTAAAGGAGAAAAACTTTTTATAATAATGCAGTATAAAAATAAATTGATGTAACGGAAGCTTATCTTCTTTTGCCAAAGGCGTACTTTAATATATATTAAAAAGTTGTTTTAATTAAATTTTTCAATACTGTGTAAGATGATAGGCGTGGAATAAATCAACTTGATTATTATACGGTATATTTAAGTAAGTGAAATTCATGCTAAAATATTAATGTAAAATTAAATACTTTCAATATTAGCAGACCTAATACTTTAATTTTCAAAGTTGAATTTATTTTAGAAGTTAAATTTATTTTCATTTTTAAAACTAGCTCAATATTTTTTTACACGATGAATTTTGTGAGCATTTACATAATATTTATCTTACATTACTTTATGCTATGTAATGGAGCTAAGATATTGTCAATTGAATCAATAGCTGGCAAATCTCATTGGAATTTTTTAAGTTCAGTATTGAATGAGTTATCCACCGAACACGAAGTCACTGTATTGACACCATTTTTGGACGGAAATCGTGAAAACTACACAGAAATAAACAGTGAATCACTGCACTACTTAATTTTGGATTTGGATATAACATTTATGTTTAAATTTTTCAAAAATCCAATTATGAGTCTATTACTTTTAACTATATATCAACGAAAGTTTTGTGATAGACTGATAGATCATGAGTTTGTTAAGAAAATTATTCGTGGTGAACAAAAATTTGATATAATTGTATTGGAACCGTTTTGGTCTTCATGTACGGCATTTATAGGTCATAAACTAGGAATTCCTCAAATATATGTTGTGCCGACACCAATACCAACACAATCAATGCCACTATACACGGGTCTCTACTATAATCCATCTTATGAATCACATTTTTCGTATCCAAAGAGAATACCAAATGGATTTTACGATAGATTATCTAACACTGTGTTATTTTTGACGACTATTACGATTCCTTGGTTGGTAAATACAGTGCAAAATTTATATAATAAAAAAATGTATGATATTGAAGAATTAAAACATGATCCCTCATTAATTTTTGTAAATGGAAATCCTATAACCGATGTTCCTAAAGTATTACAACCTAATGTTATTAATGTTGGTGGAATTCACTTGAAGACGCCTAAAGAAATACCAGAAGTGAGTAATATTTTAATTTCATGTGAATCATTGAATATATTGATTCAATTATGCAACCGATTTTTTTAAATTACAAATTGTTTTCATAAATTTACACTTTGTAACTTAAAGTAAACTATTGTGGTTATAACAGAAAAATTGTGTTTGGGTAAAAAATATTTATATTTATATTTTTATTTTCTATTGTTTTTTTCAATACTTCCTCTATTATAGATTAATTATTTTTATAGGATTTTATTTATTTGTTTACATTAAGTTTTTATGAAATATTAAGTTAATTGCAAACATTTTTTGTTATTAAATGTAATTTTTAGGGTTATCTAATATAAGTTAAATAAGAACATAAAATTATGACATGTCGATAACTAGTTGTGTAATATTATTTTTTAGGCGTTAGCATTTAAAGATATAGAAATTGTGAAAAACAGAGTAGTGTTTAGCGACGTTATTTTTTTATCACAATATGAATAATATTACTACGTAGTACAACCTTTCGTTAATAATTACAAAAAAATATATTTTTACTGTTAAATTGATATTTTTTATGGTTAAAAAGAAAATAACTCTTTATTTAGTATACTTTTATAAAAAATATTATTTAACAAAAAAAATTGGGGATTCGTTTTAAAAAACTTTGATGAATAATAATTTTGTTATTAATTTCAAGTGGAACTAAAATAATGAACTGCATTCATTATTTTATTAAAATGTTTAAATAATGAAAATATATTGATTGAAAGAAAATTGACTTATTTTGGTGTTATTTTGGTAGGATATCTATGAATTTATTGAAAGCTCTAATGAAGGTGTTATATTTTTCTCTTTTGGTTCTTCTTTGTCTATGTCAACGCTACCAGAAAAAATTGAAAAAGCATTCAAAGAAGCTATTGCACAACTTCCACAAAGAGTCCTCTGGAAATACGAAGGTGAAATGAAAGATAAACCAGCCAATGTGATGACAAAAAAATGGTTTCCACAACGAGATATTCTCTGTTTGTATTATTAAGAAGCATATAGATAAATACGCGTAAATTAAATTTTTTTAAATATTAACGTTTGATAATAGTGCACCCGAAAGTAAAATTATTTATTAGTCACGGTGGTATTTCGGGAATGTATGAAGCTGTTGATGCAGGCATCCCAGTGCTTGGTTTTCCTATATTTTATGACCAACCAAGAAATATGGCGAACTTAGTTGATATTGGAATGGCAATTAGCATGGATTTGTTTTCAGTTACAAAGGAAACCTTATTTGATGCTATCAATAAAATAATAAATGATGAAACGTATAAATAATTTTTATATAGTATATTTAAGCAGTAATGATTTTATAAGTGCTAAGATGAACTTATTATACTTTTAAAATCATTAAAATTATATAAATAATAATTTATAATTTTATGTTTTTAACTTTATAGGTATACGAAAAATGCTAAAGAAATATCTATTCAATTCAAAGACCGACACATGTCTCCAGCTGAAACGGTAGTTTATTGGACTGACTATGTCATACGACACAAAGGTGCGCCTCATTTAAAATTACAAGCTTTAAAACTGTCATGGTATCAGTTTTTCTTATTGGATGTTATATCTGTAATAGTTTTTCCATTATTATTTATTTTGTATATCTTATTCAAGTTAAATAGAATTTTTTTCCGAGATATTAAAAAAAATGTATAATAAAACAAAACTGACAATTTAATGTTAAAATATTGTTTGTTAATTTCTTCCAAAATAATTAAAATATTAAAACAAACTTTTTTTTTTACATTTTTAATAACATATGATTCTTGATATAATAGTTAGTAAGAATTTTTTATTCCATTGTTTATTTAGAATTACAAGCTTTAAAATTGTCATGGTATCAGTATTTCTTATTAGATGTTATGTCAATAATAATTTTTTCATTATTATTTATTTTATATAAATTATATCAAATTCTTTTTTGACTTTTATGAATATTTTAAAATAAAATAAAACTGATATTTACTTGACTTTACAATAAAAAATTGAAAAATGTTCATGATCATATAACAAGAAATCATTTCAAATAATTATAAATTTTGAGACCTGATTGCAACTAATTAAATTTTGTATTTAGTAATATAATTATAGTAGTTACTAAATTTATATCTAAAATTTTAAAATAATAAAAACTAATATTGAAATTGAAGTAGTTTTTTATATAAATAATATTATTATTCATGGAATTAATTGGTTCATTAAAATTTCAATTTGCGCCTAACTATATTTTTCTAGATAAATTATTAATAATATACACTTAATAAATCTAATCATTTAATATATAGAAATGTTGATAATAACTTTCCATTCATTAATAAAAATTTAGGCTTGTGATGTTATTAAATATTTCCGTTAAAATAATCTGATTTTAGTTAATCATTTTGATTGAAATTAATTTCAAAAGGTATAACTTATAAGTAATATGTATATTTACTTTGATATTAGTTGATATTTAAAACTCCTACAATGGAACACAAACTTAAATTCTTATTATTTTATTCTATTATTTTTATATCTTGTATGATATCTCAGTTAGAATGTGCACGGATTTTGGCTATAGAAATGAGAGGTGGGATAAGTCATTGGAATTTTATGAGAGCTGTATTATTGCCACTTACAGAACGCGGACATCAGGTAACGGTTTTTACTCCATTTCTGGATGGTCATCGAGAAAACTATACTGAAATTGACTTGTCAAAGATTATACCTTTAAAAGTAGGTCTAATGGTAAAAGACTCATTAGTCTATAATGGACCTTTTCACTTAATGCTACACATTCCCGAAATGACAAGAGCTCACTGTAATTTACTTTTTGATGATACACGAATTCAAAACATATTGAAGAATCATGGTCGATTTGATATAGTTCTTTTAGAGCCTATGGCGTCTGAATGTGGATCTTATTTCGCTTTGAAATTGAAAATTCCACTTGTATACGTAATTCCTACACCAATGATTACTTACATGGAAATGGAGTTCACTGGTCATTTATCAAATCCAACTGTTATATCTAATATAATGGCTAAAACGGCGACTCCAAAATCGTTCAATGAACGTTTAAGTAATGCAGTTTTGTTATTTTTTAGTATTTTCACAATGAAATTCTTGAACAGTAAGCTTAGTCATGCCAATCCAAAATCATTTGATGTTGAGAACCCAATCAAGCCAACTATATTGTTTGTAAATACACATACTATTACAGAACCTTCACGGCCTTACTCCCCTAATGTTGTTCAATTAGGCGGGATACACCTTAAACCTGCTGGAAAAATACCAGAGGTGCGTACTGACTTAATCAAATGATTAATGAAAATTAATTAAAATGTATTATTATTTAATTTAAAACTTAGCAGTATTACAAAGTAATAATCTTTTTACCTTTTTAACGCTGGTTTTTTTTTAATAATTCAATTAGAATATATCTTCATAGTATGGAGGATCAAGTATCATATGTTTTACAAAACTTCGTGTAAATACCTTAGAAAATAAATAACAGCCATAAAAAAGAAATCTATAGTAAAATTATTTTAATATGAATAACAAATTTCTCCTCACTAGCCCACATAGCAATTTCAATATATTAATATTGTCAAAATATTCTTACAAAATACTTTTTAAAATATTTTGAATAAAATATTGTGACAATATCTCTTAAACATAATAAAAAATATATTCTATTGAAATATTTTCATAATATGCTCACAATATAATTTTTTAAATATTTGTTTATGTATATTTTGATAATATATTAAAGAGAATAAATACAGTATATTACACCGAAAATATTTCTACAATGTGCTTAAAAAATATCTTTTTAAATATTTGCTTATAAATATTATGAAAATATATTAATTAAAATAAATATAGAATATTTAACTTGAAATATTTGTTGAATATATTATCAATATAATTTTTTAAATATTATAAATATATATCTTGTTGGCCAACTGAGGTAACTTAAGAGACACAAGCCATCCTCTTTTCTCCCTTTAGTTACATCTTTGGATGATATTGGTATCTTGTTATATAATACTTATGTATTATATATACATATTCCTAAATCTTTAATAAGTAAACAGCCATTTTCTCTAATTAGTATCAATTTTAATTAACTTAATTCAATTAAGCTAAGTAAGTTAGGGACAGTAAAAAACCCTTGTTGCTATTATTTGCAGGCCTATCGAGTTAAAATTTTTTTAGTTTTATCAACGCAATTATATCTTATTATTGTCCTGTGAAACTAAAAATCCTAAAAAGTTTTTTTATTATAGTTAGAATATATTTCTATATTATCAACAATAATAGTCAGTTTCTAACTTACAAGGAGAAATCATGGTGATGGGATCGCCGATTTTCAAAAAAATTATATGAATCTAATCTAAATTGAATATAAAATTGTATTTACTTTGAATTTTTTTAAACAAAAAAAATTACTTGACAAATAACCATTTTAATTACCTTAAATAGTCTTTTTTATCCTATTTTCTTTCGAAGCAACCCATGGGTCAATGGGTCACGTACGAGTCCGAAGCGCTAGAAGTACAGGGTTCAAATCCCGCGTAGTGATCTATTTTTTTGCATTTTTTTAATATATTTATAAAACATTTTAAAAATATTGTCACAATATATTTTTTATAACATTTTAGAAATATACTTTTAAAATATTGTGAGAATGTAATATTCGCTGCCAAAGTATATTCTGAGAACATTGTGAGAATATTTCAATATATTCTGGTTATATTCTAGAAATATTTTAATATCAAAAATAAATATTCTAGGAATATTCTAGAAATATTTCATTGCTATGTGGGAGGGGGAACTACAGTGTTGAATATCTGTTGATATTCGTTGAAGTTTTTGAATATAAATTTTTTTTCTAACTCAAAATCCTTTGTAAGGTATTTTAAAATAAAATAAAATAAAAAATAGAAAATTATAACACAAAAATGACGTATTTTTTAATACGGTAGCCATTTTCACCATGAAGACAAATTAAAGTTTAAATTTTTTCTTAAAACTTTGATGTTAATTACATAAGCTTTAATTTGATATATATATATATATATATATATAAAGTGTCAGTATTTCTGTAACACTTTCAAAAGTTAAATTGAAAAAGTTATAATTTTGAATCCTTACTGTGGGTTGGTGAAGGATCAGATTTACAAAAAAAATATACCATATATAAAAAATATAACCAAATGATAGGTAAATATCTAATGTATTTATCTATAAACAAAAAAATTATTTTTATTCATCTATTTTTCAATAAGTTATGGCCATTAAGTAAAATTAGCGATTATTAAATTTGTAATTTTTCTGGAGATTTCCCTCATTTACGGGAAGTAAGGGAATTTTTTCAATTTTTAAGAGTAATTTTTTCGAATAGATACAATTTGTGATCTTTTGACGTATTGTTCAAAAAAATCTGTCCAGTAAGAGCTGAGAAAAAGTGGTAAAAAAAAAACACATTATACTAAACTTAATGCTTCTCAACTTTGCATCGAAACTAAAAATTCAAGAGAAGATGACTAAAACATAATTTATTTTTTCGATTAGAAAAAATAAACTTTTTTTTTTTTTACCTACAATTACTGTTCATGAAAACAAAATAAAGATATCAAAACAAACTTGTTTGATATGTATTTATTTGTTATTGAGGCTTTAATTTATTAGTTTAAATTTTTTAATGATAGCTTTTTTAACTGCATTACTCTACACTTACACTTATAAACACTACTTCCTACTTTACATGACCTTATTTATGTAATCACAAGTTACATATTAATATTATAGTTTTTGTTTTGTTTTTTTTTAATTTAAGATTAAATATATAAAATTTGAATGATATATGTATTTATTATACTTGTATATTTGTAAAAAAAATCAAAATATATTTTTAAAATAAATAATTTGTCAGGAATAGGTATCCCTATTTAAAAATAATGATATGATGCTAGATAAATTATTTAAAAACATTTAACTGTATTACAGAAAAAATGATACTCTTAAAAATTATTTTTTCTAAAAATTAATAATAGTAATCCATTTTTCTATTACTGGTGAAATTAATAATATATGTTACGTTTCAATCTGAAGTAGGAGCCAAAATAATTTCGGAATTTAACAATTTTTCTTTCATTCAATAATTTAATACATCTGTATCGAATCTTTTATAGCACATATTGAAAAGTGATAATAGAAATCAAAAATATCATGAGGCCTTCTTTGAATATTAACTGAATCTATTTTATTACTTATAAAAATTTAAAAACCATAATTAACCAAAAATATACATAGTAATCAAAATCTAGTAAGACACATTATTTCTCAGAAACTATTGAGATTTTAAAATTTTTGTAAATAAAAAATATTTTATATAATCAATTTTATATAAATATTTTATTATAAAATAATATTTTATATAAATTAAATAATGATTTTATATTTTATTAGTCAAAATTGGTTAATTATGGATTTTATTTCTATGTGGTCGTATTTAACGTATAGTTAAGGGTTTATGATCGATTTAATAATATTTTTGGTTTTTATAATTGTTAACAAATTGTACAAAAAAAATCAATATAGATAAACTTTTACATATGATAAAAATGTTTGAAAAACTAAAATAGTTTCGGTTTCTAATTCTGGTTTCAATGGCTCATAATAATATTTAATTAGTTGATGTTTTTTTAATAGTATGGAAAACAATTGAATGACATTAGAAATTAACTGTAGAGTTTTTAATTAATAAGTATCTTTCTAATTACTAATTACTATACTTAACAATTAATTGTATTCACAACCTTCAGAAAAAAACGTAACAAGTGTTTGCCTTTAGTTACAATAGTTCATTATAGCATCAGTCTACAGTCTTTCAAATTTAATGTTTGACATGTGGTATACTAAGAAGAACTCAATGATTTTTATTAAATTATACTTAGCACTATTACTGTCATTTTTGTCGACTGTTAGTGGAGCTCGAATATTGGCAGTGGAACCAATTGCTGGAAAAAGTCATTGGAATTTTATGAAAGCTGTGCTGCAAGCATTAACTGATGTCGGCCACCAAGTAACTGTATTTACACCTTTTTTAGACGGAGAAAGGCATAATTATACTGAGATAGATATATCACAAGACATACCAGTAAAAACTAATCTGGGATTAATCGATACACTTGAAAATTTTCAACATCCAATAAATTTAGTACCAAAACTAGTTGATATATCTAGATTGTATTGTGATTTAATTTATAATCATAAACAAATGAAGCAAATAATAAATACTGGATCTAACTCTGGCTTTGATATTGCTTTAATAGAACCATTGTGGACAGAATGTTTAGCACCAATAGCAACGAAATTAAAAATTCCTCTGATTTATATAGTGCCCTCACCAACCATCAGTCATATGGAAAGAACCTTTACTGGGCACATGCTCAATCCATCTTATGTTGGTCATTTGTTTTCTCATTACTCGTCTCCAGCACGATCTTTTCTTCATAGATTTTCAAACTTTATTTTGTTTGTTTATGTATCTATCCAAACACAGTTAAATGAAGTTAAATCAGTCAATTTTAATATTAAGGATTATGATAAAGTAAACATATCTAAACCATCCATAATATTTCAAAACACTCATTTTGTAACAGAAATATCCAGACCATTTGTTCCTAGTGTCATACAAATTGGTGGAATACATTTAAAAGAACATCAAAGTATTCCAAAAGTAAATCAAAATTAAATATTTCTTATTAATAGCTACTTTCAATAATTTACATGTTAGTCAGCGTTATAAAATGAAGATGTGTAATACACCTTTTTTATATGAAAAAAAAAAATAATGTTTGATATTAAAATATTATTTTGTACTTTGAATGTTGGTGTTAATCGATTATTTTTATTTAACTTCGGGAATAAAATTTGTGATATTAGTTTATTTTATGAAAAGATTACAAGTAGATTTTTTTAAAATAAATTATTATTAAAATAATATTAAATGTCCTCACAAACAAATTATGACAAAATATTAGTATCATTTTTAATTAGATTATAATAATCCTTTATTCTAATAAATGTTACCTGGCATAATACCAGGTAACATTTCTCCATGAATATAACTTTTTTTAGGATATCTTGGAGTTTATCGAAAATTCGCCTCATGGTGTTATTTTTATTACTTTCGGATCAGTTGTTAAAATGTCAACTTCACCAAAATATATTGAGAACGCATTTAAAGAAACATTAGCAAAACTTCCACAAAGAGTTTTATGGAAGTATGAGGGCGAGATGGAAAATATGCCAACTAATGTAATGATAAAAAAATGGTTTCCTCAGAGAGATATTTTATGTAAGTTTTTAATAATTAAACTTATAAATAATACCAATTTAAGAATAATAGTATCAAATTTTTGTATAATATTCATAATTTTAGTGCATCCAAATATTAAATTATTTATTAGCCATGGTGGTATATCAGGAGTGTATGAAGCAGTGGATGCAGGTGTCCCTGTCCTTGGTTTTCCATTATTCTATGATCAACCAAGAAACATTGATAACTTAGTTAAAAATGGAATGGCACTGTCTTTAGATTTGTTAACATTAACACAAAAACAATTACATTGGGCCATTACTGAAATGATTAATAATACAAAGTAAATCAATATAAATGTTAAATAAGCTATAAAATAATTAATGCTGTATAATTTAGATATACTGTAAATGCTAAATTTATATCAAAGACATTTAAGGATCGACCCATGTCTCCTGAAAAATTAGTTGTGTATTGGACCGAATATGTCATTCGTCATAAAGGAGCAACTCATTTAAAATCTCACGCTCTTGATTTGAAGTGGTATCAATACTTTTTAATGGATATTATTGGTTGTATAATTTTGATATTATTGTCTAGTTTTTTTATTTTATACAAAACACTTAATATCGTTGTTAAATTAATTTTTAAAAATTATGTGAAACAAAAAACTGATTAACAGAATTTTCATGTTTTAATAATAATTTATTTTTTCACAAAATTATTTGGTATAAAAATAAAATATTTAAAAAGCTAATATAATTATAAATTGGTAAAAAATAAATAATTATATTACTTTTTTAATCACCATATTACAAATGTTTAGTTATAAGATCTACTTTCAATTTTTATATTTAAAAAATGATATAAAAAATTTCGGGGAAATCTATTATGGAAGAATATCATATGGTAATTTTCAATTATCTATTTATTTTACTAAAAACTCCAAAAAAATAAAAAATCGCTAATTTTTGACATTTTTTTTCAATTTTTTTTACTTAAAACTGCTATAACTTTTTCAAACATTTTTTTATGATAGTGATTTTAATCACTGTCAGATACCATGTATACTGGATCCAACTATGCCACGTCCCCACTGTACTGGGTTTTTTAACTTTATATATCTATAACTTTTTGATAAATGTATAGAACAATACAATCACTGTTGTCTCCTCTAGTTTGAAGAAATTTCTTATTTATATCAAAATTATTTTACTATATTATTATTTTTTTTTGTGGCTCTCTTTTATTTTTTCAGTTCTCAAAAAATTTTCTATTTAATAATTTAAATTCTAAAATTGAAGTAATGGTAACAAATTCATTTTTTTTATTATTAACTTTAAAATAATTAACTTTAAATGACCAAAAAAATAGTTAAAAAATTATAATTTGTATTGATTATATCTGATGTATTAAAAATCAAAATCTGTAATAATTTAAAAAAAAAATTTTTTTGTTTTGAAATCTTACACTATATTTAATTGCTATAAAATGCTAATAAATGTGTGGATCAATACAATCTTTTATGATAAATACTATTTATATACCTCTTTCATTCAGCATAGTTTTTTTTTAAATAAATCTATTTCTCTTTATATATTTATATATTACAAATATATATATAGTCATATATTATACTACTAATCCTTTAATAATAAAGGAAATAGAAATTAATTTTGCTTTTTGGTATAATCCACCAATTTTTTAAAATTAACACTATCTACAGATTTGCATCGAAACGCTTTTTATGATAGTGGTTTTAATCACTGTCAGATATCATCTATACTTGTCCCATCTATGCCACATCACACTGTGCCGTAACCACACTGTGCTACCGTTTTTTTAAATTATAACTCTGGTAATTACTAACAATACTGTGTAACTAACTTTTTCAAAACCTGAAACTATTAGTTACACTCAGTTTAAAAATTAATACTTTTCTATACGATGTAAGGTTGTTGAAGAGTGTAATTAAAATAATTCGAGCGTTGAAATTATATTCTCGTGATAATTGTTATATTTAATATAATTCAAGATAATAATACGTATTAATAAATTTATAATGAGTAATATTTTTTGAGTTATTTACGCAATATGAATAATTTTATACGAAAACTTTAATATTAAGGTAAGTTAAAGAAAATTATGTTATTTTTTGGAAGCACAGTATTTATTAATTTAATGATTAATATTGATTAAATTATTACATGTTATAATCATATTAAAATATTAGATATTCGACTGTAACAATTTTGTAATTGTTTAACATGATCTACATAATAATTTTCTTTCAATTTTATTATTCAAACAAAAGTATATACTCTGACTAGTATTAGATCTATATTTTTTCGAATATTTAAATAGTCTATAATTTACAGAAGTATAACTAATTTAACAATTATTCGTACAAAAATTACTTTACTATATTTTTTAAGTACTTGTTTTATTATAAATCATTATATTTTATCTATTCATGTTAATTATGCTTATCTAGAAAACATTATACTAATATATATATATATATAAATTATTATATATTATGTTTTTAATATAGTATAATACATTAAAAATGGATAATTAATACATCATTTGAGTTTTAAACCTTGATCATGAAACAAAAAAAAATTAAGGAAATTCATATCTGAAAAACAAACTCCATTTGAAAATTTTATCGCAAAAGATTGTTTCACAATAACATTTTAAATTGCTTCAGTAAAACTATTACCATTAAATAACATTTAATAGCAATAATTTAATATACTATATTAAATCGATCAATAATAAGTTTTCTTTTCGCGATTGTGTCATTTGTTAAAATGAAATTTTCTTTTAAATATTTTATAATTTCAATGATTTTTACAATTATATTAATGATCAAATCAACACAAGGCGCTCGTATTTTAGCAGTAGAGACAATTGCATCTAAAAGTTGTTGGAATTTCTTTAGCGCTGTTTTAAAAGCATTGGTTGAACATGGTCATGAAGTTACTGTATTTACACCTTTGTTAGATGGAAATAGAACTAATTACACAGAGGTTGATATGTCTAATGACACTCCAATATTAACTAACATGGATACAATGAATGCAATAGCAGAGTGGCAAAGTCCACAAAATATTGTTCCAAGTCTTTCAGAAATGAGCAAAATAAATTGCGATATTCTTTTTGGCCATAAAATATTTCAAGATATTTTAAAAAAGAAAATTAATTTTAATTATGACATTTTATTTATAGAACCATTATCATTAGATTGTCAATCTATAATAGCTTCAGAATTAGATGTACCAATGGTTCATGTAATAGGATCACCCACTTATACATTTATGGAGAGAACATTTACAGGACAAATTCTCAATCCTGCTTATGTCAGCCATATGTTTTCTCAAAACGCAAATCCAAATAAATTATTTCTAAATAGATTTTCAAATTTAATTCTCTATATTTACACAGCAATACGTCTTCAATATGACGAATTTTGTATTAAATATACATCTCTAAAATGGTATTATGGAATGAAACACATTAAACCTTCAATTATATTTCAAAACACGCACTATATCACTGAACCATCTCGACCAATTATGCCTAGTACCATACAAATTGGAGGTATTCATTTAAAGTCACCAACTAAAATACCGAATGTACGTAATTTATAATAACTACTAGTATGTATACAAATTGAAGTATGATAATAAATAAAATAATATACAGAATAATTCATTTATCACAATCCACTTAATTATTAAAAAATTTTTAATATTAAAATTCATTTTTTAGATGTTTTTCAAATTATCAATCATAAGGTATTTTTTATGTTCATTCCTTACACTTAATAAGGGTATCAACTTTATTTTTTGAAGTGAAAATACACATAATAAACTATTTTATTTTTAATAGATCTATTGAATTTTAATGATCTATTCAAGGAATTGACTAGTTGATAACTTTTTTACCAGTCTTTTACAAGTTATTTTCAACATTTTCAAAAATTAAGTTGAAAAAGTTTATTTTTTTGTAAAAAATTACCATTTTGAAACCCTTCATGTGGGCTGGTAAAGTGTCAAATGTTCACAAAAGTATATAAAATGATAAGTAAATACCTAAGGTATCTATAAAAAAAAAATTATATTAATTCAGTCATTTTTAAAAAAGTTATGACAATTTTAGGTAAAAAGAATTGAAAAGATGTCGAAAATTAGCGATTTTTAAATTTGTAATTTTTTGGGGGATTTCCCCCGTTTACGTGGAACGAGGGAATTTTTTTCAACTTCTGAGGGTAATGTCTTCGACTGGATACAATTTGGGATCTTTTGACGTATTGTCCATCAAAATCGGTCCAGCGAGAGCTGAGATTGAGCGTTCACAAACACAAAAAAAAAAATAATAATAATAAAAAAACACATCATAGTAAAATTAATACCTTCTCAGCTTCGCATCGAAGCTAAAATAATTTATTATATATCATGTATGTGTGGCAATAGATATCCATCAGTTACAGTTTTAAAATTCAATCTACGGTAGTGACTGTGTGGCTTGCAATCACCATTAAATTTTTATACAAATGTAATGGACTTGCTCACGTCCTGTTTGATAGGTGGCAAATCCTTTTTTCGCCATAAATTGAAACTCTTGTTTTATAGCTTTGAGTTTGTCAACCTGTCGTGCCTAGTGCCATTCAAATAGAAGGTATATATTTAGGCGTGCAAGCTGGAATTCCTAACGTATGTCATATATTATAACACTAACAATACTAAATAATTATAATATTAATTTTTAGTATGTATATATAAATATATGTATTTAGTACAGTAATATATTATATTAAAAATAGAAATAAAAATTTATGATAGTTATTTATATGTAAATGTATTCTCTCATTCAAACTAAGATAATTATTTTCAATTCAAGAATTTATCTTATTTAAAACATAGATACTTGTAATTAATGTGAATATTAAAACGAAGGATACAAATATATATAATCAAATTAATAAATATTTTAATTAAAGTTATTCAATTTAATTATAATCACAAAACTATTACTTCTTATAGGATATCTTAGACTTCATAGAATCTTCACCTTATGGAGTTATTTACTTTACATTTGGATCTGTTGTAACAATGTCTACGCTACCAAAAGATATTTTAAACTCATTTAAAGATGCGTTGGCTAAAGTACCCCAAAGAATTTTATGGAAATTTGAGGGTGAAATGGATGACAAACCAGCAAATGTGATGATTAAAAAATGGTTTCCACAACGTGACATTTTGTGTAAGTTAAACACTTACATTTTATTTACATTTTAAATAATTCAAATATTATTAGTACATCCAAAAGTTAAGCTATTTATTAGCCATGGTGGTATATCAGGAGTGTATGAAGCTGTTGATGCTGGTGTTCCAGTACTTGGATTTCCTTTGCTCTATGATCAACCAAGAAACATCGACAACTTAGTCGAAAATGGAATGGCGCTTTCTTTGGATTTATTAACATTTACACAAGAACAATTATATCTAGCTATAATTGAACTAGTTAATAGAACAAAGTGAGTGATTAAAATAAATGTATTTATTAAAAAAGTAATTTTTTTAATATTAATGCATTTTAGGTATACCAATAATGCTAAAATTGTATCAGCAAGATTTAAAGATAGACCTATGACTCCTGTAGATTCAGTTGTGTATTGGACTGAGTATGTGATTCGTCATAAGGGAGCGCCTCATTTAAAATCTCAGGCTATTGATTTAAAGTGGTATCAATACTTTTTAATTGATATCTTTGCAGTGATAATTTTAGCAATTTTAATAGCGTCTTACATGTTGTACAATATACTTAAATACATCAATAAATTCATATTTAAATGTATGAAACAAACAAAAGTAAAATCTGAATAGTTAATGAATAATATTAATATTATAAACTAATAATCAGAATATTAATATAAAATTTATTATTGTGAGCTTTGAATAGAATTAATATTAAATAATGAAAGTTTGAAATGATTTCGTTTTTTTTTTTGTGAATTGTCAGTATTTTAGCTTCGAAGCGAAGCTGAGAAGATATTAATTTTACTATAATATGTTTTTGTATTTTTTTTTTTTTGTGTCTATTATCACTTTTTCTCAGCTCTCACTGAACCGATTTCTTTTAACGATACGTAAAAAGATCACAAATCGTATGTAGTCAAAGACAATATTCTCAAAAATTGAACATTTCCCTCTCGTACCTCGTAAATGGGAAAGATATCTAAAAAAAACCTAAAACAGTGGGATAATTATAAAAGCAACAACAACTTCTATTTCCTTAATTATATCCAGAATAGTAATTCTTAGATTCAAAAATATAATATTTATTTATTTATTTAAAGTTAACGCCCGATTTGGCTCAAGTACAGTATATAATAAAATAATTAGATAAAAATATTAGCACTAGATATGTAACATTACTCAAAATTACTAATTAAATAATATATATTTTTTTAATTATATATTATATAATTTTTATAATTAATTTTTTTCAAATTTATTGATTTTGATTTTTAATAAAAACAGTTCCCAAACTATCAACCTACATTTTGTCTCTAATAAAAGTAATGATTGGTCTTCTCTTAATGACTCGTTTCTCGAATGCATGTCCACTAACTCCTATGCTCAACCTGCTGAGAAATCCTGGATCACTTCTTTGGCTAATCAACTCTCTTCAGCTGTATACAATACTCCTCCTCTACATTATCATCCCCTCAAATCTTAATCAATTAATCAACTAGATCTAACCGGCCAAACTTAGCAGATTGGATCTCTTTCTTTCTAATTTTCTCTACCTTACTCGTATCTTGGTCTGAATCCACCTCCCCTACAACAAATTATAACAATTTTGTTAATATCCTTATAAGAACAGCAAAAGTTTCAGTCCCGCGTAAGCATTCGAACAATAAAGGTTTTAGCCATTCTCCTCCTTGGTGAAACTCATCCTGCATCACTGCAGTTAAAATGCGCTCCTTACATTTCAAAAAATACAAATCCTCAGGTTCTCTTCATGACTACATAACATACCAAAAATCAAAATCCTACACAACCAAAATTATAAAAAAGCAAAAAAAAACTGTTAGTTAAATTTATGCAGCACTCTACATCCTTCAACGTCCATCTTAGAATTTTGGACCATAGCTAAAAAATTCAAAAACTGTATAAATCGTCCTTCTTCCACCACCAACAATGACTAGTTTGACGACTTTTGTAATAAAATTGCACCTTTCACTTTTCAGCCAACTTAGCAAATAATAGTAATAATAGCTTCCTTTCCTCTCCTTTCAGTTGTCACGAACTGTCCTTTGCTATTTCTTCCAGGTAATCTGCTGCTGCTGGTTTGGATAATATTTCTCCTTTTTTTTTAAACATCTTCCAATAAAAGCCTTTGATATTCTTTTAACTATCTTAAACGATTTATGGATTAACAATATCATTCCTGAGTCTTGGAATCACTTCAAAATGGAAGCCTATCCTCTCTTGTTGGTCCCGTGTACCATTCGTTTTGTAACCGCCAATTTACTACAGCCATCTTCGTTGACGTTCGTGGTGCATTTGACTCTGTTAACATCCCTCTTCTTGTTACACGTCTACTCTCCATCAACATTCCTATATCGATGTGTAAATTTATCATTTCTTTATTTAAATGCCGCCTCCTTCACTTTAAATCGCCGTTTGGTCCCTCTTACCAACATATTACTTATAGAAGTCTTCCTCGAGGTAGTTTAGTCAGTCCTATTTTATTTAACATATATACTACTGATATAAGCAAATCACTCACATCTAATAATTTCTTTAGTTTAGTTTACTTTACGACGATGATATACTTATTTTCTCTTCCCATAGTTCACTCCAGGTTACTGTATCAAATATAAATAATGCGCTCCAGATTTTCTCTTCTATACTCCAGCTTTTCTATTTGAATCTGCCCCAGAAAAAAGCAAAGCTATTATATTTACTAGAAAACACATTCCACAACATCCTTCAATTTTGCTTGATGGGGTTAACTTATCTTTCTCTGATTATGTTACTTACCTCGGACTCAAACTTCGCTGGATGCCTCACTTTAAGTACCTCATTTCTTCCATATCACGCTGGTCTAATCTTCGTTCTATTGTAGGTGCCTAGTGGGGCTCCCACCCCTCCTCACTCCTACTTATTTTTAAAGCTGTTATCCGCTCTAAAGTCGACTATGGTTCCTTTTTATATGCCTCGGCTTCCACTGTTCATCGTAAAAAATCAATTCTCTACTCTCTGCTTGCTTACGCAAAATTATAGGTATAGTTTACTCTACCCCTAATATGAGTTTAGAAGTAGAATGTGTATGCCCTTCCAATTAAATTCGATCTCGTTACTTAGCCCATAAATTCCTTTTAAAACAGATATCCAATCCTGCCAATTTAATATTTCATTGTTTTCACTCACTAAGTTCACTTTGGCGATATGTACCAAAAACTCTTCCTCTACTTGCCTCTATTTCTACTACCTTGATTCCCTACCTTAATTCCATATTTACCTCAATCAATCGCCTACCTATATATGACATTCCATTTCATGCACTTACTCATTTTCCAAAAATTCACTTTAACCATCCATTTCTTTTTTATAGTAAGCCTCAATTACAATCTCTCCCAACTAATTTTGTCATTTATCTTTTATGATAACTCATTTCCTCTCATTTTGTTAACTATTGCCACATATTTACTGAGGGCTCAGTTTATACTAACTCCGCCGGTTTTTACTTTTTTATTCCTAGTCTAAACATGAATTTTTCAGATAATCTCTCTTCAAAAGCTTGTTCATTTACCACCGAATCTTATGCGATATCCTCAGCTCTCGAATTCGTTAAATCACTCAATATAATAAATGTTCTGATTGTCTCGAATTTACTGTCAGTCTTATCCTCTCTTTCCTCAGTTCCTTTTAAAAAGAATAGATCCTTCCTCACAATCAAAATTAAAGCCTTAATTTATAGTTTCTATTTAATGGACATTAATGTTGAATTTTTATGGTGCCCGAGTCATGTCGGAATCTCTGGCAATGAGATAGCAGACCATCTAGCCAAACTCACTAACTCTTTCAACCGACCACCTATCCTAAAAATTATCTCTTAAGATCTCCTTTTCTCTTTTCATCTAACTATTAATTTCTCTTTAGCAAACTGACATAAATCTATATTTCCAATTATTCCTAAACATCCTTGGTTTACAACCTCCCTCCGTCCCGTTTCCATATTACTTCATTTTCCCGTCTTAGATTTGGTCATAATCGGCTACCTTTTCATGCCTTTAACATGTCATTAAACCATTCCCCCTTCTGCCCCAAACACAATGATGAAGTCCCCTATAATTTTTCTCATTTACTATTTGATTGCCCAGCTTTACAACATAACCGTTTACTCTTGTTCAATTCCCTGTCCTCCCTTAATATTTTAACCATTATTAGTTTTAATATCTTTATTACAAAATCCTCCCCAATAATTATACAAATAATTTCCTTCGTTCATTCAGCTGGCTTCGTTATATAATATTTTTCTGTATGTCAATTTAATATCCTAGGTCTATTTTGTTTTATTCTACCTTTTTTAGTATTTTGAATACATTTAATTTACTAATTTAACGATATGTTTAATTGTGTTTAATAACAATTTTTTTTTTGGTATAGTCTTAGTCCTATTGTATAGTCTTAGTTTCTATTGTATAGTTTTATTTTAATCGTTTAGCTATAATAAGACTTCTGTATTGAAGGCTAATAAAAAAAAATATGTTAAAAGTAATAATTTTCAACCAAATTTTTTTTTGAAAAAGTTTATAATAAAAAAACAATGAATTTATTGTCATAATTTTTAGCTCAATTCGCAAGTTTGAAATTGACATCATTAAATGAAAAAAAAAATTAATATGGAGTCAGCAAATTTTATAATTTGTATTTATTTTTCAGAAAGACGCCCCAACGGCCCGAGTACCTCATAGTTACTCGGGTCGCCTTGGATGAGACGGCTTCAACCCAATGGAAAGCCAGTGGAAAGGGGAGGTAGGCCGAGGCTACTCATCATTAAATAGCGTTGAAGAGCAGGATTGAGGAACAAGCAAAGGGAATGTGGTCTGGGCCTTAGGGACCCACATCTGGGAGACGAGGAGGCTCCCGTGTTACGGGGGTCGGCGATGTTCACCCAACGCCAACCCGCCATATAAATATGGAGTCAGCAAATTTTATAATTTGTATTTACAGTAAATTTATCAAATTATCAGAAAAGCTCGATTTTTTTGCATTTTTATCGTAATAGATCACTTAAACTTATCATAGTAATAATTTATAATTAATTTTTGGTGTTTAAAAATATTCTACAATTGAAGTATGCAGAACTCAATTAATTTTAATGATTTACTTTTACTAAAAAAACCAATCAAAATAATCTTAAAAAAACTTCTCAATAGAGCATATTGTAAAATTTGATTATAATTGTAAAAATCCATTGTTAATTCAGAAGAAACTAACAATAATTATTTTTAGAAATGATTTATATAGCAACATATTACCAAAAAATTTGAAATATTATAATCTAGTAATAGCACACACAAATAGAGTAAAGTATTATGAATTACAAAGTAAAATAATTTAATTTTGTACTTGAAACCTATCATATCAATCTTGATTCGTCAATAAATACTTTGAAAACATTAGAAATGAATTATTTTAATTGTCCATATGGAGAATGTAAGCTAAGTAACGTTTTAATTAATAGTGGAAATTGTTCAATTTTTTAGGGTAATATCTTTAACTAGATAATAGTTGTGATCATTTAATGTATCGTTAAAAAAAGTTGATCACGTGAGAGCTGAGAAGATAAACGAGAGCCTCCAAAAATATATCACATAATAAAATAATTTTAATATGAATAAGAAATTTCTTTAAACAAGGGAAGACGACAATAATAGAAGCCTTTCTCATAAAAAAAT